TAAGGTCACACTTCTCGGTTAATTGCGAAATAAATCGGGCAATATAGTTTAATCTTCCCAGGAATCCTCGAACTTCTTTTTGTGTTTGTGGGGGTGGTAAATTCTAAATAGCTTTGACCTTGTCAGGATCCACTTCAATCCCTTTTTTGCTTACTACAAACCCCAAGAGTTTTCCCGATGTTACCCCGAAGGTACACTTGCTTGGATTGAGTTTTAACTGGCATTTCCTTAATCTTTGGAAGAGTTTCCTCAGATTCTCGATGTGTTTTTCCTCTGTTTTAGCTTTAACAATCATATCATCGACATAGACCTCTATTTCCTTATGCATCATGTCATGGAATAGTGTTACCATGGCCCTTTGATAGGTTGCCCTTGCATTCTTTAGCCCAAACGGCATCACCTTGTAACAAAATGTGCCCCACATGGTGACAAATGTAGTCTTTTCCATATCATCTGAATGCATGTTTATTTGATTGTAACCTGAAAACCCATCCATAAATGAAAATAGAAAGTTTCCAGCTGTATTGTCCACCAGGGTGTCTATGTGTGGCAGAGGAAAATTATCTTTCGGACTGGCCCGATTAAGATCTCTGTAGTCAACGCACATGCGGACTTTTCCATCTTTCTTTGGTACTGGAACAATGTTCGCTACCTATTCTGGATATTTGGCCACTTTTAGGAACCCATCATCAAATTGCTTCTTTACTTCTTCTTTAATTTTAAGCAGCATTTCAGGTCGCATCCTTCTGAGCTTTTGTTGTACCGGTTTACATTCGGGATTTATTGGCAATTTATGTACCACTAACTCAGTGTCTAAACCTGGCATGTCCTCATACGACCAAGCAAACACATCTTTGTACTCTCGAAGCAGCTCAATCAGACTTTGTCGTCCCTCAGCAGATATGATAGTGCCAATTTTTATCTCCTTTTTGTCTCCCTCTGATCCCAGATTCAAGATCTCAATGGTCTATTCATGAGGCATAATTTGTTTATCTTCTCACTCTACCATTTTTAGTAGTTCAGAAGGTAAGTCATTTTCCTCATCATTATCATAACCTCCAACTTCCACTTGACATATGGGCAGCTCGAAATCTATCTTCGGGTCAGAGTCATCAGCATTCATACCATTGATATCAGAGGTCCTGAAAGAATAACGAACGAGAGGATATATATACATATACAAATACAGAAGGATCTAACCCATATCAAAATAGAATGAAATAATAATATATAATAAAGAAATAAATAAAAATATGCAATAGATGATGTTTGCCATTTCGTGAATTAACAGGAATGCATTATTTATTAAAATAAAAAAGCAGATAGATTAACCCCTTACAGAAGATCATATATTGTCCTGGGGTTTAGACAATAGGGAAAGTTTTTGTGCATTACTCTGAAATAGTTTTGTAAACTACAGATAATTCTTCTGCAGTCCAATTGTTTAGCACAAAGCCTGGTGGTGCAGGGTAAATGCCCATAGCTACTCCGTCTTCGATTCTTTCCTCTGATATCACATTTATACCCAAATCCCTCAGGGCATTTTCAATAACAGGCTCTTTAGATGATCGGTCCCCCTGAAACATATGGCCCCCTGATATGAAGGTGTCACGCAGCGATGGAAAAATCATAGGCTCCCACTTAATATCCTCCCTGGCTAACCTGGCTCTCCTCGTTTCCTGGCTCTTTTGAACATTTTTCAATTTTTCCTTTAAAGTCGGGCGATATCCTAGACCAAAACGATCTAGCTTAAAACCGGGAAAAACTGGACTAATATTCCCCTGTAAGCGACTCCCTAGCCCTCTTCCAACCTTGGCTGCTCTTCCCAGGGTCATTTTCAGTCCCATTTTGGTACAGTTTGATAGCCTAGGCTTTGGAATTTTCTTTCTTTCAGCAACAAATGTGGCATTAATAAATTCTAGGGCTCTAAAAGAGCACTCGACTGCATCTTCATCTACTTCAACATATGGAGCGGTAGTAGATATGGAAGCAATGATATCTTCCTCGGTATTAAGGCATACCAATCTCCCCTCAATTACAAATTTGAGTTTCTGATGCAGAGTAGATGGAACGACTCTTGCCTGGTGGATCCAAGGCCTTCCTAACAAGCAGTTATAGGAGGGCATTATATCCATTACAAGGAATTCGACCTCGTAGGTTGATGGGCCTATGGTTAAAGGAATATCGATCTTCCCCAAAACTTCCTTCTTTGTTCCGTCAAAAGCTCGAACGATGCTTTGGCAATTTCTCATGTATGTACTATTGACCGGTAGTTTCTTCAAGGTTACTAATGGCATCACATTCAGGGCAGAACCGTTGTCAATTAGTACTCGCGATAACACATGTCCCTTGCATTGGATGGTAATGTGCAGGGCTTTGGGATTTCCCATCATTCCGGACGGGATTTCATCATCAGAGAAAGAGATGAAATTGTCTGCTTGAATATTTGCAACCAACCGGTCTATCTTTTCTACTGGCACATCTTTTGGCACAAAGGTCTGATTCAAGACTTTCATCAAGGCATTTCGATGTGCCTCAGAGCTTAATAGTAGAGCCAGGATTGAGATGCGAGCTGGCAACTTGTGTAGTTGCTCGACGATGCTGTACTCACTATGCTTCAAAAATTTTAAAAACTCCACAGCTTCGTTCTCGGTTACAGGCTCATTAATTGTTGGCTCATCATCTTTCAGCTGTATCTCGACCTTTTTTCCTTTATCCGGGGTTGCTATTTGTTTGGGTTCACTGGTCGGATTAGGAGAATAACACCTCCCACTTCTGGTGAAGTGGCCTACCTCATCCACCTCTTCCTTGGCATCCTTTGAAACACCAACATCACTTAGATGGCACTCGTACCTCCAGAGGACCTGTTTGCTATCCTTATAGGGAAAGGACGACGGGGGTATGATCATCACTTTTGGGGTTATATTCTCTACTGTACGGGCTTTCGGCATGATAACCAGAGGGCAGTTGGCATTGTAGACTCCTTTGGATGTATCCTCGGAAGCACAAATCTCTATCTCTTCTTCCTCCATAGCTTCATGGTAAAATTCCATGTCTTTACTATCCATCAGCCTTTGAACCAAAGCCTTAAACTCATCACAGTTTTGAATGACATGATCCTCACAACGGTGGTAGGGGCAAGCATGCTTATTCCTGTTAACATTAAAGGTCAACCAACCTATATTTTTACCATTTGCCCCCATACCCAATGCATGGGTGATTTCACTTCATTGACTTTGGTTATGACTCTGTTCACTCTTTCTTCAATAACAACATTAACCCCTGTCCCTGCATGGTTCGACAATGGGTTCTGAGCCACATTCGGCTGCTCACTATCACCGAAATTGATGATATTTCTTTGTCTTAATCTTTGCACCAACTTTTTAAAGGCCAGACAATTTTCAATTGAATGCCCCGATGCCCCCGCATGATACTCACATTGAGCATTGATGTCAAACCATTTTGGGTAAGGAGGTTGTATTGGAGAAGTGTGGTAAGGTGACACCACATGTTTGTCATACAGGATCTGGAATAGTTCTTTATAGGTCATGGGGATAGGGTCAAATTGAACCCTTTCCCTTTCCTGTCTTGGTTCTTTCGCCCCTTGCTGGACAGGATTTAATGCTGACGATACAGTGGCTTGTGGTCGAGATACTGTAATGTTATTAGAATCATATTTCTTCACATTACTGACCTCCATTATCCTTCCTTCTTGCTGGAGGCTTTCGGCTAGATTCTCCCCCGTCTAGCTTCCCGCTTTTGATCGCCATCTCGATCATTTCTCCTGTATTAACTATGTCAGCAAAATTCTTGGACGAATTTCCAATGAGATGTCCAAAGAACGGGGCCCTCAGAGTATTTATAAAAAACATATTGGTTTCTTCCTCCTCTAATGGTGGATGAACTTGTACAGCCACATCTCTCCACCTTTGGGCATATTGCCTGAAGCTCTCATTGGATCTTTTTTCCATACTTTGCAACAGAATTCGATTCGGCCTCACATCTTTTACGTGCTTATATTGCTCTAGAAAAGCCTTAGCCAAATCCTTCCAGGATTTAATTTAAGCCTGACTTAGCTGATTGTACCAACGGATTGCTGAGCCTGCCAGGCTTTCTTGAAAGCAATGAATTAATAACTGATCATTTCCTACATAGCCTGTCATTTTTTCTGCAAAACATGGTAATGTGTGCAGAAGGACAACTAGTGCCATCAAATTTCTCGAAGTCTGGAACTTTAAACTTCGGTGGCAGCACTAAATCAGGGACCAGACTTAGCTCTCTGGCGTCAATTCCATATAGGCTAGCATCTTCTTTCATAGCTCGGAATTCATGTTTCATTTGTTCCCATTCTTTCTTAATCTCCTTATCCTGTTCTTTTTTTGTCTTCCTCATCTAAATCAGGGACATCTTCAATTGGTTGCGGGTTTGTAGAAGAGCCAGGTAGGTTCACTTGTATTTTTTTCGGTTGGACGGTCGTGGTTTCTTGTGCATGGATATGCGGTGGTGTGAAGCCAGGGGGATATAACGGTTCCTCAGCAGCATGACTGATAACTGGAGTCTCTTCTCGGATTATACTATTTCCTTGTAGCAAACTAACAAGTTTTGCCATCATGTCGTCTTGAGCCTTCACCATCTGTTCATGCATATCCTCTTGCGCTTTCTTAAAACTCTCTTGTATTTCAAGCTGAGTTTTTTCGATTTGTGTGATCTTATCTTCCATTTTCTTGGTTAATTGACGAGTACCGTATGGGTGTGAGGTGTATGCCAGGATAACTACAAATGATTGGAAATTGTATTTTATTATTTGATGAATTTCAATGAATGAATTATTATAATGTTATCATTAAGATTTTGAAAATTTAGAAGAAAAAAAAACATATGAAAATGTAAACGCAAATGCAACATGATATTGATTCCAAAATAACTTAGTTTATATAAAAAGTACTCAACAACACACAACATCTAAGCACTTAAGCAAAGAGATTATATCAACACGAGTATTAAATGTAGAATCTTGCCCTATTCCCTAATCTCTCGAGCTCTATCATCAATCCCATGATGCGTCGTTCTTCCTCTGATTCTAGAACCACGAAAACTCTTAAAGATGCCGCTTCTTCAGATAATTCGTAGACTTGACGAGCTACATCACGTGCCTGATCCACTGCTCTCTCCATTGCTTCATGTTGCATTTCAATGGTGTCCTGAGCCTGCCGTAGAGCAATTCCAAGCTCTGGATTAGTTAATGGTCGACTATCTTCTAGCTGTTGGATTCGTTGATGGCAACTATGCACTATGACTTCTAATTCAGCAATCTTTGCTTTTAAGGCTTCGTTTTCTTGCATGGTTATCTCTTGTGCGGATGAGTGGATCAACCTTGCTCCTTCTAGCTCCGCTATCTTCTTCTTTAACAATTCATTTTCTTTTTGAAGACTTTTGTGAGGGTTTCGAAAAGTCTCCTCAATATTAAGCAGTTGTGTTTCGAGCTGTTCAATCTGTGCTCGCCTCTGTGCTAGTTCTTGGTTAGCCTCATCTCTTTGCTCTCTCAGTTTCCGAGCGAGTTGTAGGGCTCGTTTCTTTTCTTCTTGGCCTCTTCTTGCACTTCTTTCTACCCTATCAAGTTTTATCTTTAGGGTCTTGACAGTATGATGTAGACATTGGGCTCTCATATTCTTCTCTAAGGCCCGAAAATCTTGGTTTAGCGCATCAAAATTATCCTGGACCTTCTCTTTCTCTTTGGAAAATTATTTTATCACTCCGTCCTTCTTAATTATTTCAAGTTCCCATATTATCTTCTCATCCGAGAAGCTTCTCTGCTCTTTTTCTCTCTCCAAATTCATCAGTCGCATTTCCTCTTTTAACAGCTCGGCTTTTGTCGGGGGCCTTCTCAATCGCTCTTCCATAGTCAATTTGTCCTCTAAATTTGGCTTAGGTGTGTTGTTGTTAATTCTCTGCGACCTCCAAACCTCACAGGTCGGCGTGAATACATGCTCTATCATCTTGAAGCTCATGCATTGAGGCTTCTGCCAAGCCGCGTAGATCTTTGAAATCCGCTCTCGGTAACCCGGAGTAGAGAAAGAAAACTCTGCCTCTTTCAGGCCATGGGTAGCTGGTACGAACTGTCGGGTACCAAACTGTCTGAGTACAATTAGCGGAGTATACCCGATAGCTCCCCATAATCCGTGTAGCATTATAAAACTATCATTACCGCACCTAAAAAGTATGTCCTCTTTGGGTAACCAATAAGCCTTCCATACTATCTCAGTATCTTTCATGTTACGGACAGCTTCAACCCAGTCTTTCCTCTTGCGATGCTCTGGAATTTGGCATTTATCGAGGAAATTCACTAGAGGCGAAAAATTTGATTGATGTCTCCGAGCTCAGCCTTTCTCGACTATCCAGGAGTGGCTCCACCACCAAACTAGTAACATTGAAGCACATCCGGTGAACTGACCTCCCCCCAATCGTCTACACTGGTTCAGTGACAAGAATGTTTCCGCAAGGATGGCTGGTGCGGGATTCTTTCTAGCGATAGCTTCGACGAAATTGATTAAGGCGATGTCGAAGTGATCCTCGTTCCTAGGGAAAATTACCAAATCATATATTGCAAGTGCGAAGTGATCTCTTCTTCTTTTCGATGGAGTTTGCTCGTAAATTAAACTCTTCAGCTGAGCCCAGGAGATCCCCTCATCACGAATGTACTCTTCGACCCACTCCTTGGTCTTTCCCGTCAACGTGATCATTTTGGCTATGAACCCTTTAGGTCGAATTGCCTTGGTGTAAATGGAATGTCTTCTAGCATTCGGGATGTTCAGCAAAGTCGTATACTCCTCTAAGGTAGGCATCATATCTACTTTACCGAAAGTGAAACACCTGTAAGCTGGATTCCAACATTCGGCAAGGGCTCGAATCACCACTGTATCTATTGGTGCTCTCAGCAGCTCCACGATGTCACCGTATATCCCTCTAAACAATGTCTTCTCATTATTATCCCAGGTGGACCAAATTCTTGATAACTCATCCCAGTGTGCATGCCTGATCCGAATAATTACCTTTTCTGGAAAAACTGAATCTTCAGTAGTGGCAAGGCTGTCTCCGAACAGTGTCTGTCCGTATTCATACCATGTCTGAACACTGATTGCATTCTCAATCCCATCGGAAGACATTATTGCCTCAAGCTTTTTTATAATAACTAGGTAATCTGGGAATCAATACCATTTATGAAATGATGTGATATGATAATGATACATGCAATCAGGAAACAAATCAATAAGTTAGTGATATTAAAATAATTCAAAAAAATATCAAAGAATTAATTAGTAAAAATTTAAAGTATCGAATGCAAAAATAATCAAAGAAAATAAAAAATCCTAACATCATGCGATCTAATTCTTCTAAGTTATCTGCATGGCTTTAACGAGGTATGCTTACTAAATTCTTTATATGAGGTTGGGTTCTAGCAAAAGGTTCCTAAGCCATCTTTACAACCTGCTAAGGTTGACCTCGATTCTAGCCCATTACAGACTTGCGAATCAAGTTCAGCTCAGGGGATCACACCTCTAAAAGTGTACATCGGAACTGATATCCAGATAGGCAACTTAGGGTGCTTTCCATAGATACTTTTTCAGACCCACACAAGGAAGCCCAATGCTCCTCGTGAGGTGTGACGTTTCTCTCTACTTAAGTATATTAGGATTGAGCTCAGGTTTAGAGCTATGATATGCAACAATTCTAAATATTTCACAGAAGTGTAAGCATTAATCAGAGAGAAAATCCTTTTTTTTTTTTTGAAATAACAGAATGAATCGTAAATTAAACAAGATTAAACTCATAATTTCCAAATAATAAATATAAGGTAACCAACTCGTGGCTCGACTCTCAATTTGTTTTAAAAAAAAAAGGTCCCCAGCGGAGTCGCCAAGCTGTCGTAACCGTTTTTCGTCCGAAGGGAAAAGACAGTTACCGACTCGGGGGTTTCTCTTTGAAAATCGTTTCGAAAGGTGAGGAGTCGCCACCAATCATTTAAGGTGAGATTGGAACACCGTGAAAACCAGGTGATTTTAATAAAACATTTTATTTTAATAAAATACTGAGTTTTGGGGTCTGCGAAAATCTAGAAATCAGGTTCGGGAGTCAGTTACGCGTGGGGAAGGATTAGCACCTTACGCGTGGGGGGAAGGATTAGCACCTCCACAAGCGCCCAAAAATTGGTACCTAGTGATTACCCTGTATTTAAAATCAGAATTTAGAGTTCGATCTTTATTTAATTTAATAATATAACGATGCAAAGTTAAAAAGGGTATTCATTTATCGAAACCGATAGCATTCGCCCCCGAGCGTAAATGCGGGAGATCAGCTATTGTGCTTAATAATGAATATTGCCTTATTTTAGAAAAAAACATGATGTGATTTTGAAAAGGATGTGACTTATTCAGAGAATTACAGTAGTCACCCCCTGAGCCGATCGCGGGAGATATACTATTAATTCTTTAATAAGTGAATAATGCCTTAGATTTTTAAAAAACAATGCAATCAAACAAAATTTTATTTGCCCTAATTAAACTAAAGTAAATTAAGGTCTTTTCTAACTAAAGTTTCAAATTATGAAAATAAGGAACCTAGGAGCTCAAATTTAAAATGTAAGTTCTAGTATTAATACTTAATGCTATATTTAAAAATAGATTAAATATTTACGTATTACAAAATTTCTTTTGATAATTTTAAAATGATCGAATATTATCCTTAGTCAATTATTTTAATTCGAGTCAAATGATGATTATGATGATATCTATTATGAATCGGGCTTCAAACATATACATGAAGGAACAAATAACTACAAAACAATATAATCAAACTTTAATTATATGCAATTAATACAAACATATATACGGTATAAACATATATATATATATATATAATATTATATATATATATGCACTATGCAATTAAGATATATATACAATGAAGTAAATACTCACATAAATATGAAGAATAGATTTTTAATAGACATATATATTAAAAGAAATGAGTGTAAATGTTAACATGAATCCAAAAATGATGGAAATTGGACCTATTTGCTAATACAATTAATGTAAACCTACAAAAATATTTACGTGTTTAGTATGTACATTTACATATTACCATAATTAGAATAATGCATATATGTACAGATCACTACCTATCACAAAATATAAAATCCAATTATGGGATACATTTAACATATATAAATATACCATATATACGTAAAGTACACAAAGTCATATATAAACACATTTAATATTCTGCATATTATAATCAAACAAATATGGAAAGTCAATCAGTTTACCCATTACAATTAAAATAAATAGGAAGTCAAAGCAAAAGTAGAAAATAAAATCATAAACATGTAAAAATAAAAATAGGACTAAAATTATAAGTTATTAAATTATTATGTCAAAATTAAAATAAAATATATAAGGGACTAAAATTAAACATGCAAAAAGTAAAGGTGAAATGTCTAAACAAATAAAAACTAAATATATTACCCTTTAGAACTGAAATTAAATGAGGGTAAAACATAGAGATAAAATTTAAAACATGAAAACAATTATTTAAGGATCAAAATGCATGAAATCGAAAATTTGGATGGCCCCTAAAATGAATAACCCATGCTTCAATAGTCAAACTTTCTTAAATCTAAACACTATCGTTTTTAGAGAATTGATATATATGTTAATTTAAGTTAAAATTAACTTTAGACTCACTTGTAAAAAAAATATTACTGTGCCACTCTTATTCTCAATCCTATTAAACACTGTTTAAATGAAAGAATAAAACATTAAATTATCAAACCTAATTTATGTTAAATCTAACATATTCCAGCTCCTCTCTTCTACCTTTTTCTTCAACTTTCTCCTTCAACCGCTCAACAAGGACCAACAATCGCTTGGTCGCCGAGCTACAGTGCATCTCTTCTACCTTTTTCTTCACAAATCCGAGGTTCATATTTTCTTCCTATCTAATCCTCGACTCCATCCTCTCAACGCCGGTAAGAACACAATTATCCGACGAGGGGCTAAACCTCCTAAGGTAAACGTTCTACTCCTTACTTCTCTCTATTTCTTATTTTTTACTTGATAATGGTTTTTCCTCCTTTTCGTAGGTTGTATGTCGCCTAAATCGGAGCTACTTGATCGGTCACCGCACCGTGAAGGATATACTCTACTCGACTGGTTACTTAACCTGACCACGAAACCCACAACCCCAGATTCTTACACTAGCGACAGAAACCCCAAAACCAAGGTAAATTTAATTGCCTATTCTACATTATTTATATTAGTTCAAGCGTATTCTAATAATATATACCTTACAATCATTAAAGAAAAAATATATTAAATAAAATATTCTTCAATTGCTGATTTTGGTACAAATTAAAAAATAAACAAAGAAGATAATATATACCTTCGGAAAAGATCTGTTATGTATTCTCTTTCCATATTAAGATCAACCATTACAATAATTATGCTTTTCTTTCACTGGAAACTGAGTAAATTTTTACAAAGATGCTCTCTATCTTTATTTTCCTCCCCTTTTCTTTCATTAACTGCCTCCACTTTTTATCTCCATTTTCTTCACCTGATCCCTTTGTCGTTGCATGATATTTTCTTTCTTTTTGGTGAGACCTCGATTGGAGCAGGTGAATATTTGGGCGTATGCAATGACGTTCTCTGAAGATTTGGGTGCTTCACGTGATGGTGCTGCAAGGGTGTGGTACTTGGGCTTCAAGCTGGGTCATGTAATTGGGTTGATGTTGAGCTTTGTATTGGGCTCTGGAATTTATTTGTATTTGGCCTGCATGTAAAATACAATAATAATTATTAACAACAACAACAATAATAATAATAATAATAAAATATTAAAAGACGAGATGAAAAAATGAGTGTTGACAGTAGTGGGACAATTAGGATAAGGATGTTTGATGGAGCTGAACGAATACTGCAACATGTCAGGTACATACCAGAACTCAAAAGGAATTTGATTTCTTTAGGAATGCTGGAATCAAGCGGATATTCTTTTAATACTGATAATGGTTGTATTAGAGTTACTAAATGCTCTTTAATTACCGTGAAATGAGTTAGAAAAAATGGTTTATATTCACTAATTGGGAGAATTGTGACTGGTAACTCCTCTAATGTAGTTCAATCTAAAATTGTCAAAACTTCTCTACTGGAACTCACACAACAAAGAAACCATTAGATTATGTACACAGTGATCTATGGGGTCCTGCTAGAACACAAACACATGGAGGTGGGAGGTATTTTTTGTCTATCATAGATGATTACACTAGAAGAGTATGGGTTTTCATTCTAAAAACAAAAGATGAAGCCTTTGAATGGTTCAAGGATTGGTTAACTCTCACTGAAAACAAAATGGAAACAAAACTGAAGCATTTGAGAACTGACAATGGCCTAGAATATTTTTCAGAGCAGTTTAATGAGTTGTGTAGGAAAAATGGTATTACAAGGCACAAGACAGTTCTAAATACCCCTGAGCAGAATGGATTAACTGAGAGGATGAATTGAAATATCCTAGAGAGAGTGAGGTGCATGCTTCTGAATGCTTGTCTACCCAAAAGTTTTTGGGGTGAAGCTGTGTCAATAGCCTGTTATCTTAGTAATAGGTGCCCTTCAACAGCTATTGGAATGAAGACTCCTTTGGAAATGTGGTATGGGAAACCAACCAACTACAACAATCTCAAAGTTTTTGGATGTTTGGCATATGCTCACATCAGACAAGATAAACTGGAGGCAAGAGCTTTGAGGTGTATTTTTATTGGCTATCCACTCGGAACCAAGGGTTATAAAATGTGGTGTATGGCGCATGGCCAACATAAATGTATCATTATTAGAGACGTGGTGTTTGATGAGTCTAAAATGGAAAATCTACAAAATTATATTATTAAGAACACTGTTACAAAAGAGGGTATTCCAATTGAGGTGGAGCTGACAACAAACATTAGCTGATCAAGGGACTTGAGTGAATGATCAAGATGAAGAGGTAAAAAACCAGAAAGAAACTAAACCAAAAACCAGATTGGATGACTACAATTTGGTGAGAGATAGACAAATAAGAACCATCATACCACCAGAGAGATATGGCCATGCATACTTGATCTTCTATGCATTAA